TATATATATATATATAACTGAGTGTAAAACATGAATGATGAATGTCATTCCTAAAAATAGCCTAAAAATATCACGATAAAAGGCACACACACTTTTAACAGGCACAGGGACGACACAGTAGAATCAGTGAATCTTTTCATTGTGATATGGTTCATTTACATAAATGAACCATCTAACCAAATGGATTAACTAAAAAATAGGACTTAGCAGTTAAGTTAGTCGAGTCGCTAATTTTAGTTAGTTACTTATAATTATGATAATTATGACAGCCTGTTTCTGTCAATATATCTTGCAACTGCTACTCTTTATCAAACAATAGGACTTTATATATCACAATATGACTTATTATAATTCTTATTTATTTCACAATGACATTCTATTTTTTACTTTGAGGCAGAAACAGGCTTCTGAAAGTTACTCCACACTGAATGGGAGAAAACTCTCATTTCACTGAATGAATACAAGCATTGTACTGTATGTCTATATTTACTGCACACTGTACTTCATTAATGGGTTTACCATAGGATAAAATAACCATGAAAACCATGAAAATTAGTAACAAGATTCATACTTAATCTTTGCACAAAATGATATAATTACAGCACTATCTTTATTCATCCAAAAATGCAAATGCAACAGCTGCTTATTGGAATTATCCTAGTTATTTACTAAAAATAAGCATCCGTGATATGAAAGCTTTCTAGCATGAGAACGGTCTCATTGCAGCCAATTGTCATCCAGAAACTAAGGCTCATGGTTTGAATCAAACTACCCAGAGTGAGAAGGGGGACATATTTTGCATTCTAATTTAAATGAAATGGAAAGATTAGTGGTTGCATATAATGGAAACTATAGTTGATGGTTCAAGTTATGGTTTGGCTTGAAATCATGGCATTCTTTGCCACAAAATTTCAAATACCACTTCTCTTCATTGAAGGGAGGCTATGTGTGTGGCTCAAGTAGGCTTTACTCTATGATTTGATTGGATTATAGCTTCAAATCAAAAAAATTCGTGGCATGAAATGACAAAGGAATGTCCATTTCCCAGCTTTCCAAGATAAAGGTTAGAGAGTCAGGAGCAGAAACAGCTCTAATACCTTTGTTATGTAAGTATTGATGAATAAACAAGATGCAGTACATACTAAACTAATTGTAAGCTATATTACAACCTTTATAATGGGAATTCAGGTAGTGTTCTATATTGATGGATAAATTAATCTTTAAAGACATACAGTGGGGTCCAAAGTCTCAGACCCTATTACACCCTTATTAGACCTTTTGAATCTTGACTTTAGCTCTTCCTTGACACTAATATATTGTAGTTTTCCTCTAACACTGTAATGTTTGAGAGTATTATGTCTAAGTAGCAGGTCAAGTAACATAGGCTCAATGGAAAAACCTCCACTTACATTTCTGCAAAAACTTACCTATACATGCAAATCACTGTGGATTTCATCTGAAATGAACAGTATAGCAGCAGTAAAACACCACTGTATTTTATTCCAGTATATAGCATTAGCTATAATCCAATAGCATTCCAGTGGTAATTTGCACTGGCTACCAGTAGCTGCTCGCATTAAATTCAAGGCATTAATGTTTGTCTACAAAACCACCGCTGGCTCTGCACCCATTTACCTAAATTCATTACTTCAGAGTTATGTGCCCTCTAGAAGCTTGCGTTCTGCAAGTGAACGACGCATTATTGTGCCATCTCAAAGAGACACAAAATCACTTTCACAGACTTTTTCATTAACTGTTCCCTCCTGGTGGAATGACCTGCCCAACTCAATCCGAGCAGCTGAGTCATTAGCCATCTTCAAGAAACGACTAAAAACACATCTGTTCCACCTTTATTTGACCCTCTAACTCTAGCACTTTCTATTCTATTTTAATTCTACTTTATCTATATTTATCTTCGTTTTTTTATAAAAAAAAACAAACACAAGCTTTAAATTTTTCTATTCCATCTACTTGTTTTTCTTTGTGTGTGTGTGTATATGTGTGTGTATATATATATATACACCTTGCTACGTGTACTGCATTAGGCTAACTGAGACTTGTCATTTGCACTTATATTGTTGTTCTTTTGTTAGTTTTGACTGCTTTTATTGTAATTACAGTGGCAGATAATTGATGATTTAAGACTTATTTTCATGTGTTTATTGTAAAAAAAAAAAAAATCAATGGGCATGTTCATACTTGGCAGGTTTGGTTTGATTAAAACAAACTCTGGAGTGACTGCTCTGTTAATATGGTTCATTTGGATAAGTGTGAACGCTGCTGTGTGAACCTTGGTGCACACCAAGCAAGCAGACCAAATGTTCAAACTCTGGTGTGGTTTGACTAATATGTGAACGCAACACGGACCAAAGACATATAAATTAGCCAAAATCAAGATGTGATGTCACAAAATGTGACCCAAAAATACAGAATGCTCAACTTAGTTCTTCTTATCAACATGTCTTCTCATGTTGTCCATTAGAGTTCGGCATGGGCATCAAAATCGCCTGTGCAATGGAGGAATTACTTCTGTTTATTTTATATATTTTTTTATTTTAATCCTTTACACATTTTAAATGCTCTCCATGAGATATCAGACTGTAAAAATATCACCATTTGTATACACATACAACAACCGCATTTAGCCCAGCAACACAGCATTGTTTCGGATGTTGGGTAAGTTTGTAAAAATAAATGTCTTAAAAGCTGTTCCATCAAGTTGTGACTGTATCCTTATGCCTTTTGTTTTGTACCTTTAAGTTTAGTGTTAAACATGACAGTGTGAATACTAAGCGAAATGTAGCCTATCATTTAGTGTGCTTTCACACTTGGTCCGATTGCCTGGTCACAACCCAATTTCGACTGATCCTCCTCCCCCTGCTGGACTGTGTTCACAGTATGTTGTTTTATTTGCGTCATTAGTTGTTTACCCCTATTGCTAGATAATAACTATGCAGGAGAAGATGGCAAAATGGATGGATACCATTGCTAGCTCGCATCACTTTTGTACTTTGGATTTTGAAAATTTGGTTTTGTTTTCAAAGCACCATTACATGCATCTATTTGTCACAAATGTAATTTGTGAGAGAGTTAATTTCTGCTGAATATGATTCATATTTCTGCTTGTGGCGTGTCAGTTGCGCTTGTCAGGAAAGTGAGTGATAAACATAAATACACAGTTTGACCAATTCATGTCATCAATAGCGGTTCACTTCTGTGATTTAGTACGATTGCTTTCACATCAGAAACTTGCAAACAAACCATCCAAACAAACCAAACTCTGAACATCAAAACCCAGGTGCTTACCAAAAGTGCAAGTGTGAAAGCCCCCTTACTTTTTCGCTCCAGACCAAAAGAACCAAGAGAACCAAACTACAATAATCACACCTTAAAGTATGTTATGAACCTTTTTTCACGCCATAATGCAAGATTTACAATAAAGAGCTCAAATAGTCATAGAACCAAGCTACAATGGCATGGTTGCTTCAGCAAATGTGTCACGTTTTGTTAAAACTGTTGGTTAGGTTTAGTGTATACAGGAAATATAAAATTAATACATGTGGCTCCTGACGATATATTAGGTGTTATGGAACGATCGGTCTGTGTAACAAACTGTACATTATTTACAGCATTATTATCTGTAATCCAGAGCCTCAGGCAAACAGGGAAATCGATTATTTTCTGTGAACTTTCAGACAGTTCGTTTCAATTAACTGGTTCAAATAACTGATTCACCAGTTTGTTTACATAATCACACAACAATGTAATGCATACGCAATTATATTAATAAAACACCCAATAATGATATGAAACATGAAAGTGTTACATGTCTAAAGCAAACTAGTGAATAAACTTGTCATAATTAACTCACCTTTTTACATAAAGCACGAAAAACCATAAATGGAGTCAGTTAAGAGCAAATGCAAATTTTCAGGTGAACTATCCCTTTAACCATTTAGTGCCACTCACCCAACATTTCTTTTTCAAACTGCCGCTATACGTACAGTACAACAACCAACGTAATAAAACATTGCCAGATTCACGTTCATCTGTTGTGGATGAAACTGAATGCATTTTTAGTGTCACTCACTGGACATTCCACTTGTGAAAGTGTTGTGAAACACGCAAGAAGCAAAGTAATATCATTTTGCAGAAATGTCACCATAGGCACATTTTTCCAATGAGCCTAGGTTGTCAAATTACCATTTCAAGATAGTTTGGATACCCAGTACTCCCCCCACTCAGTCATGAACAGCACTGTGGCTGCAGTCATTCAGGTTCCTGGGCACCACCATCTCACAGAACCTGAAGTGGGGCACTCACATTGACTGAGAAAGTTCAACCTGCCACAGGAGCTGCTCACACAGTTCTACTCAACTGTTATTAAGTCGGTTCTGTGCTCTTCTTTAATGGTCTGATTTGGGTCAGCCAGCACATTAAAATTAAGAAGACTGCAATGGACTGTTAGGACAGCTGAGAGGATAATTGGTGTGTACCTGCCCAACCTTCAGGACTTGTACATCTCCAGAATGAAGAAACAGGCAGGTAACATCATCACAAACCCCTCTCACCCAGGTCACAACCTGTTAGCACTTCTACCCTCAGGATTTTTTACCCAGGCCATCTCCAACTTAAATAACTAAAACACCATTTTACGACCTGCTTTATAATGAAATTATAATTCAGTGCTTTTGTGGTGTTAGACAATATGTAAATATATATATTTGTATTCATACAGCTGTATATACAGTACAGTACATAATGCAAACATCTATACATAAACTGTCAGATCTAATGTAAGTTACTTTATAGTTGTTGTTTTTTTCTTAATTTTTAACTATTTAAATGTCCTATGTTCTATAATCTTTCTCTTGTGTTATATATGTATGTATGTATGTACCCAGCGCTCCTGGAAACCACAACAAATTCCTTGCATGTTTGTGCACACTTGGCGAATAAAGCTCATTCTGATTATCATTCTGTTGTGAGCTCAGATGCAGCCTTCTGTATTGATTGATGGGTCTGGCAAAACCTGGTTCCCTTTAGAGCCCTGTGAGATGGAAGTGTCTTTGGTTTTGTCACGCACTGTCTTCAGAAAGGTCATAATCCCTGACCCTCCAGTACCTCTTTCCTCCAGTGCTGTTGGTGCTCTTCTGATCGCGTCCAGCTCCTCGGGCAAACCCTGCTTGTTGGCACGGAGCTGTTTGGCGCGGGAGGCCGGGATAGTGATGTAACGCGTGACAGTGTTGATGTGGTAATTCCGAAAGTCCACTAAGCGAGCCACACACTGCTCAAATGTGTGCGTTAGACCCTCATCCGCTTGCTGGAGCACAAAGCTGCGCAGAGACGGGCGACTAGAGATGTTTTCAATGAAATGCTTATGAGAGGGCAGCATGTAGTCCCTCATTCTTCTCAGGAAGGCCCCTGTTTGGACAGTGTTGACAGAGCAAAACAATATTTTCAATATGTATGCATGTATGTATATATATAAATAATTTTAATATGCTGATTGCTGCTCAAGAAACATTTCTTATTATTATCATCAAAAAACAGTTGGGATGCTTAATTTTTTTGTGGAAACTGAGATACATTTTTCTAGGATTCTTATATGATGAATATAAATAACAGCACTCATTTGAAACAAGTCTTTACTTTTATTTAACAATTTAATGCATCCTTCCTGAATAAAAGTTTTGATTTCTTAAAAAAAAGAAAGAAAATAAAATACTTACATACACACACACACACACACACATAAAATATATATACAAAAAATAATAATTACAAATTAAAATAGTATGATATCAAAAATAACAACTTTACTATTTAAATATGTTAATACTGTCTACTTTTTTTTAAATATTGGGAGTTAATGTATAAGCCTGATATTTTTATTATTGATATTTTCTATTAAATTATTATTATTTTTGAAAAAAGTAAAAAAAAATAATAATTTTGAGTGGGTTTTCACAATAAATATGGCAAAGTAGAATGTTAAAACAATTATTGCATTAAATATAATAAATATTTTAAATTATTATTTTGTATAAAATACATATTTTTTCAATAAAATAATTAGTAGTTTTTGCAGTAACATTTATAGCCCTAAAAACAGATTTAGTCAAATCCTTTTCTGAGGATCCCCAAGCACCCCTTTACAGGCCCCAGGGGGTTGCCTTATAGGTACGATAAAACATTTATTTCTCCACAAGTTTGTGCAACACCTGATGTTATCCAGCATAATCATTACTGTAATTGCAAGGCCAAAATTGAAATCAGGAATGATCTAATCACAAGAACAATTACTGATAGTTCTCTTACCGCTGCTGCCTTCATGTTGGACTCCCAGCAGCTCATCAAAGCAGTGTAAGGTACTACTCTGAGCGGCACTGCTTCCTGAAAACTCCATTGGCTTCTCCTGAACTTCCTCATACACGAGACCTTCTGGCATTAATGGGTTATCTTTCCATCTAAAACCCACATGCAGAAGGAGAATAACATTTTTTATAAATTCAAAAGAATCCAAAAAACCTACAGTATGGCTTACCCAGACAGATAGATCCTCACAATCCCATAGAATATGGAAGGATCTACATAGTCTGAAACAGTAAATATGTATTTGTCACATGAAGTATTAAAACCACTTGAATAAAAGTTAATTTTTTTATCCTAATAGTATTACCATGCATTAGTTTAAAAGCCTGTTTCATGCTGTCTATGGCCTGACTGACAACATCCAGAGCTTTGGTGACCATAGCAACATCATTATAATGGATGCCATTGATGACATCAAGGATAGACTGTGAAAAAAGAAACAGCTAGTATTACCACGGTACAGTAATGTAATCAGATGGTAATTCCACATTGTAATTTTTTTTTTTGCATTATCAAAAAACAAATAAAAAGAATACTGGAGTGTTTTACAAGACAGTAATATTTCAGTCTTTCTACTTCAGAATTTTATTCAATGCGTTACTTGCCATTTCTTTGTGTTTTGTTTAATTTACTAGCAATTTCTGAGTGAAAATTGTTTTAAAGTAAATCTGACACTTTTTTCAATGCATATGTGCATGCCATGGAGCATCAAAGTAATTAAACAAATACTAGCATAGTATATCAAAGTAAATTATTGGCTAGTATGGCTCCTGTAGCTCAGTGCTCTGTCTGTGAACTGTGGCATTTGTAAAGGTGTCAGACCTTCAGGCCAGGAACAGCTGCCAGCTCCACCATCAGTGTCACCAGAAAAAATCCTCTTAAACTTTCCCCACCAGGCAATGTCAGCAACAACTCCAAGTTCCTTTCAGGAAGCAAGAACAGTCACCATGAATGACAGATCAATGCTTCAGAAGCACTAGCCACAACTTACATCAACATGTGTTTGTTTGTTTTTTTACATGTTGTAATTGTGGTGTCTAATTCTTGACATAAATGTAATTATAAGGTCAGATGCTGCAAAGAGGATCTGAATTCACACAAAGCATATTTACATATTCACCTCTGAACATAATGAGATGGCTCCCTCTGCTGGTTTTAAAAATCAGTAACATTTAACACACATTTCTGTTAATTCTTCAAAATACTTACTCCATGGAAAAAGGTCTAGGAACAGTCCATGTCCAGTTGTGCGTGAAAAAGAAATATACAAATCCAGGTTAGTTTGATAGATAGACAGACAGACAGACAGATAGACAGATAGATAGATAGATAGATAGATAGATAGATAGATAGATAGATAGATAGATAGATAGATAGATAGATAGATAGATAGATAGATAGATAGATAGATAGATAGATAGATAGATAGATAGATAGATAGATAGATAGATAGATAGATAGATAGATAGATAGATAGATAGATAGATAGAATGATGAAAATGACAATTAAAACCAGATTAATCATTTCATTACGCTAAATATGTATTAAAATTGAAAATGAAATGAAATTGTTTAATTTTCACGGTGACAATGTCCCTGCCAAACTGAAAAATAAAATTGAGTTGGTGATTTGACATTTCATTTTATATCTACAATCTCGAAGCAAGACTGCCAATATTAAAATGAAAAGGCAAACATGAAAAAAAAAACCTGCAAAAACATTGCTTAAGATTTTTAGTAATGCTCATGCATATTAGTGAGTTTTCAGTTTATTTTCTTTTTTATTTCACAGTTTTCATTTTCATTTTGGAAGTCAACTTGTATGCAAATTCTGTGTTAATCAGTTGTTGAGACTGAGTTATGCTATTAATAGTTACTTGCATTTGAATGATTTTGTAGAGGAGCTTTATGGACGAAAAAATCTAGCCAACTGCCTAAACTGAATTATACATGCAGACACTCAATCAAAAGGGTTCCATGAGTGATTTTTCACCAAACTGGACAAAACTTCTACCGAATCGTACAAAAAATGCCCTTACACAAGTAAACTAAATCTAGGCTATTACAGCTATTGCAAAAAAAGTAAAAATTAAAATTAAAGGTGACATATCATGAAAATCTGACTTTTCCAGGTTTTAAGTGCTATAATCAGGTCCCCGGTGCATCTACCAACCAAGGAAACGTGAAAAAGATTAACTCAGTCACTTTGTTTTGGTAAGCCTTTTTTCTGCAAGCGTCTGAGAAAACGAGTGTGTCTGATTTCGCTCCCTTGGTGACATGGCAAAGGGATCTCATTATAATATTACCGCCCCTGATTTCACAAGCGACAACGGTGTACCAGTTCTAACGCCATGGCGAAAGTTTGAGCAAAATATGCTAACTGTTCTTCTGTCTTTGGTTGCACAGACGAGCCCCAGTTTCAGAGGAGACGAGAGCAGGGGATGTATTGATTTATTTACTGTATATTGCTGCTGCCTTCCACACAGATCTAAAATAAACATGCAATTTATTTCCCAGGGGTTTGCCTTCACAGACAGGATTAGCTGGCTAGCCAGGCAAGTTTCAGGACAGCTGCTTTCTGTCCGTGTGCTTTGGATGTGTGCTCTCAGAAAACCGTATATCAGAAGTTTAAACTCATATGGTTTAAATAGCATGATTTCAGCGAGATAAACATGATAATCAGGACCAAAACAGATGTTTTTAGCAGGTCTGAGCTGTAATGGCGCAGCTCTATTTTGGAAAAGGGGGCGGGGAGCAGAAGCTCATTTGCATTTAAAGAAACAGGCCCGAAAAACAGCGTGTTTCTGCTTCCACTCAAAGTAGGCATTTTCAAAATGTTATAATAAATGATCTGTTGAGTATTTTGAGCTGAAACTTCACAGACACGTTCTGGGGACACCAGAGATTTATATTACATATTGTAAAAAGGGGCATAATATATCTCCTTTAAATGAAAAGCATTCAAAGCGGCATTGAATTTAGATCTGTACATGTTGCATAACTTGACTTTGTACGTGTTTTTAATGGCGTTGCACATTATAACCAATCACACATGATTCTGCTGAGCTTATGAATGCAATGGCCAATCAGAAGTGTTCAGATGAGACATCACCGAAGCACAGATGCCCTTTGAAATCTGTGTCCTTCAAAGGAAGAAGCCTCCGAATTGGCTGTGATGTGACTGGTTATCAAGGCACACGTGATCCAATTTGACCATTAGGCCTAGGATTTCTCCAATAGTAAAAGCCACGGAGATGAAGATGAAGATCATTTAATAATAAAGGCTTGCATTTGGGTCTGTTCCTCACAATTGTATTTAAAGGTGGGGTCAGCGATTTCTGGTAGCCAATGTTGACATTTGAAATCACCAAAACAAACACGCCCCTACCCCAAAAGGGTCTCGCCCCTATTTTGATAGCTCCGCCCCACACATACGCACGCAACCCAGGCAACGATTAGTTCTGTGAAACGAAGCAAAACCAATTTTACACCGTGTCTACACTGGACGCGAGTGGCGCGGCGCGAAAAAAAATACTATAGAACTCGTTATAATTAGTGATGCTGTCTACACCATAGATATAGCCTATATACATATCTATAGTCTACACTGGATGTGGCACGGCACGACAAATCCGCAACAGAAAACTGCTGCTGCGTTCTATTCATGACATACTGACACAAATTTCAAATGATTTTTAACGGTCGCTTTGTCGCGTCCAGTGTACTAGACAGACTTTAGCTGTTGCGGCGCAGACACGCATACTCACCTATCGAGAAGAAACAAAGCAACCTCGGCGTCCAATCGCAGGCCTTCCGCTCCTTGAGTTCTCTCCAGTGCTGGAAAGCTGATCCGATATTTACACGGGTCCTACTTCTTGCCTTATTGCCTTAAGCCTTCTTTTGTTCCGTAGATGTTTTCCTCTTTTGTTTTTTATCCAATCTCTATCTTTCTGTCGCTCGGCTAATGTCTGTCCAGTGCACTGAACGCTCTCTCCTCCACATCATGAGTAGACACACCCCTTACTGCTGATTGGCTACAAGTTTGTTTTGCTATTCGGCCCGAATCAGTTTTCTAAAGCGTTTTTGAAAAATCGCTTACCCCACCTTTAATTGTTCCAGCGCACATTTAAACTTGATTACTTTTGTGATTTTATGTTGTGTTTTTGGTGTATTTTATTTTACTATTCTTAGTCACAGCATGACCACAGCATGAAAATGCCTTTATATGCCTTTGTAACAAAATAAATATTACATGTTAAGTAATGCTTAATCGATTACAGAAATGTTATTAAATTTTAAGATGTTAAAGTGTAGTCTTGTTTAACATTATGTAATCATTCAAAATGAGTTGGCAGCAGAAATTACACAGAACAAAACAAATGTTTTCTGAGCAGTATGTCGTCACACTGCTCAGGCCCCGCCCACAACAACTGACCGACTGTCCCGTATTAGCATATCTCCACCCTCAGACAGTTGTACACTGTCCGCCATTTTCTCCGCACTCCAGCAGCTGTAGTGACAACAATGTCTTGTAAGCAATGTAGGTGTTTTGTAATTGGATGTTGATGTGAACATAAGAGTCTTAATTTTCTCCCAACATCAGAGCCACTGAGGATGCAGTGGATTCGTGTTGTTTTTGATGGTAACACGCCACCAAATACAGAAAAAAATAGAAGAGAGAGGTGGAGTGAGCAGCAGCTCATTATAATTAAAAGAGAGATGCACAGAAACAGGTCGCTGTGAACAGAGCTGTTTTTGACAAGGTAAACATGTGTTGTTTTACACAACCATTGAGGACCCTGAAGAATCATACCAGCTTGTGGAAAATGATCATCCGATGTCCGCTTTAATGACATTATTTTAATATTCATAAAGTTGTTCATATGAAAATTTGCATTTTAGATGTATGTCAATAATATTGAACATTTAGATGCTGTCAGTATGTCAATGTTGTATGTTAGGTATTGTATTCATTCTAATGTAAACATAAGGGTCACCCCCGGGTGCTTTACGACTACTGTCATCTTATCTGAGCGCAAAACACTGCTCGGGAGAGTTTCAAGATACTAAAAATAATAAATACATAAAATGATATACACTTGTTTATGTGTTTATTCTTGTTGGCAGTATTTTAATAGTATCTAATGATTATCAACAAATTAAGCATTAGAAAAAAAAAAATTACACTTAAATCCCCACTGCTAACAGAATTTTCCAGCTTTCCGTGTTTCAAGAAGAGAAGAGGCGTGACGTGTGGCCAAGTATGATGACCTATACTCAGAATTTGTGCTCTGCATTTAACCCAGTAGTGAACACACACACACCGTGAACAGTGCCCTATAGCAGTGGGCAGCCATTTTGCTGTTGCACCCAGGGAGTAGATGGGGGTTGGTGCCTTGCTCAAGGGTCTCACCTCAGTCGTGGTATTGAGGGTGGAAGAGAGTGCTGGTTATTCACTCCCCCCACCGACAATTCCTGCCAGACCTGAGACTTGAAACCACAACCTTTGGTTACAAGTCCAACTCTCTAACCATTAGGCCACGACTGTCCCACTGTTTCCACTGTTATATTGTAGGAGGAACTATCCTATCGATCCATGAAGCGGTATAGGAATGTGCAAGCTTTGGGAGTGTTGATGGAAGCAATCTACTCCATCTATCTTTTGATCATCGTTCTGAATCTCTCCAGATGTAGTCTTTGACAAAAAATACATTTTCTCAGCTTTAAAAAAAAAAAAAAAACATTATTATTTTTTTTAAATAAAACTCAGCCACATTTAAGTTTTGAGAAAAATGCATGAAGCTAGAATAAAACGTTAATGTGAGAGGATTTGTTTCAATGTTAACATCCTAAACGTATGGTTCATCAAGGTACGGTTGAAATGTTTTGAGGATGGGCCGGAAGCTTTAAAGCCCTGACTCGCTGTGAGCTGTTGGGAGCATTTCCATGACACTCTATGCCAACAGACACTATACTTCGGACTGGAGAATGCAAGCATCGCTGCCCCGGATCGAAATTTAGACTACCCCTGAAGCGGGGAAGTCTGCAAGTGAATTGGAGCAAGTAACCTGGTATTATTGTCCACAGGACCCAGCTCGATATGCCTGGAATGACTTCCCAAGCCTGACTCCGGGTGGTGAGGGGCCAGAGCTTTTCGAGCAGCAGACTGCTGCACTGAGGCGGGGGGTTGGCGCTCATGCTGCTGTGAAGAGGACTAGTGCTCT